TCGATTCACTCGCACTATGATGACCCCAACATTTCATTTCATTTTGGCAAGTTCTCATGACATGAAATGTGACATATGTATAAATAAAAAAAATTACATTATTCTTATTATTGAGTAGCATTAAGGACTGTTTGCCGTCATAAAGGTTACGTAAACTGAACTTCCATAGCTTTAATAGCAGTTGCAGTGTTCGTATTGACCTTTGACCCAAACAGTGCTTGTAATAACGGTAATACCCGGGCCACTGTGTGCCGGCCGACATAGTCTTGTAAATTCGCTCGTCAAAGTTGCCGAGACGTAGCGGTGACAACAGCGAAGCCCATAAATTCCATTTCTACGCAGTACCGTCCGTAGTTCCTGATAGACTTCTGCAAGCCACATGGAACACACAAGCGGACTTTACGTTTTTACTAGGTCGATACACAGTCCCTCTATCTGATAGAGGGACTGTGGTCGATATTAAAATACTACAGTAATCACTATTGTTATGAACGTTGCGTTGTTGTCAAAACCACTCAGTCGATATTCAACGTCTATCCCTGCTAACTTATATTGCCATCCGATAATTGTGAAATGCTGACTTACCGCCTATTTCGTGGCCACATTCATCACTCGTATACGGTATAGCATGAATGTCCATGGCATAGGTGCTGTTCCCAAAAACATCAACCGCGAGGGCGCAATTCACGCAGCTATAAGTCGTCTCGAGTCAATGCAGTCATGATGCCCCACGGTGTCCCACGATGACTTGAAAACACGAGCACTGAAAAAAAGTGAAATAACTCCAGCCTAACTCCCTGTCAATTATTCTTGCCACGTAGATTTGGGGTAGCCGGAGTCGGGATTTTGTCCATTCGAAAATACATTTTTGAGAATTTATAACGGCGCAATGCAACACTCAGCTGCAGATAATTATTCAAGTTACAATCGAAATTCTTGAGCTACTCATTTATTTTCGAATTACTTGAGGTAATGAACACCCACCACGTGAATGATCCAGGCTATCAAGGGTATCAAGAATACCAAGGGTACTAGAACGCCGGATTCGGTGTGTTCAATAAAACGAAAAGTCCGAGTCCCCGGCTCCACTGACAATGATGTAAGTATTAACTGAGTATGACATGCCGACCTTTGTTAGGATGAACACCACCACCCCAAGTTTCTGTTTAACAAATACTCTTCTATGAATAGATAAATAACGAGACCCAGTCGTCATACAAGTGAATTATGTAGTACAGAGAAACGTATTACAGATATTTGTGACAAAACTTCTACGGAAATAGGATTAATTTCGCTAAAATAATCAATTACACCAACATTCGGGATTAAATGAAATGTGAAAATGTACTTTTGGAACTTATTTCTTAATTCATTTATAATTGAAATTAATTTACTTGGTCCATCTAAACGCCCAATGAAGTTTGTAAGATAGTTCGAGTAAGTTATATTGTCACGTACCTAGAGAATGTGTCATGGTGTTATTGTAATGCATGTTGGTAACTAGAAAAATAAATCTCATGCAATGCATTTTCCAACCACTCTACTTGCTCAGCCAATTACTGTAAAATAATTTTTTAGCTGGATTTAATTTTCGCTGAAAAGGCTTTTTGAGTGTTTTGTACGGAATTTATTTTCACTTATTTTTGATTAGTTGAATGTGAAATACAGGAGAAAACAGTATATTCACTGGACGCTTCAGTGAAAATAAATTCCAAGCGGACATAAAGTAATCGACAGTACTACTTATACATATAAAATGCATTGTTTGTATGCATATTAGTTTTTGAAGTCACATGACACAAATAAAGATTTCAATTGATCACCCAAGCAAATTGGGCAATTGGCCGCTCTTCCGCGTTCGCGTAAAACATCGCTCATTAAAATCTTTAAACAATCCATTGGAATTTTGAGGTGCTAAAATTTCAGTACATTGATACTTCCATGGGAAAGTCAGTATGAAAGAATACCATACAATCACGATGTGACACAAAATATATTGTGACTTACTAATTGCGTACAAAACAACTATTACACTGTGTTAGTTCATAGTATTCTAGGAATGGAATGGGAAAGGTCCGTGCATTTTGCATTTCGGCAAAACTATATCGTTATTCTAAATCAAAGTATGAATTCGTGAAATATGATAGACTGGTGAAAAATCCTCATTTTTGTAGTATTAAAACATACAATTGAAAAAATTGAATTAAACAAACTACATATAGACACACACCATCATATCAAATGAAGAAACATATCCGCAGTTGCCATGGTACACTGAAATCGTATTCAATTTAGACAGACTGAGTTCAAACAATATTCCAAAATTAAAACAAATACAGTAGTTAAGATGAATACAATATGGTTCAGTATAATATAATTAGCAAGAATCCCTGTGATATATTTCGTTGCGCATTCATTGATTTTATATATTGGTTGGCAAACAGAAAACCGATGGCACACACTAGCATAATATCAACTGGATGTCCGAGATAACTATGATGGATAAAAAAAAAAAAAAAAAAAAACATGCTTCTTGACCTGGTACACTATATGTAAAATGTAAAAGTATGTCAAATTCAAGATGTAAATTTGTAAATAATTGATAACAGTAAAGATAATATTGTATTTGGTTTAAACAACAAAGAATCTCAATTCTCATCCGGCGAAATAGTTTCCCCTGTTACACTCCAAATAACATACACCGGTAAAGTACACCGATGTCACTGTGACCTGTATGAACTATAATTTGAATATTCGAAAGTAAATACATATCATTAAACAAACGACCAATCAGCGCTTGTTTAAATACATATCATTAAACAAACGACCAATCAGCGCTTGTTTAAATACATATCATTAAACAAACGACCAATCAGCGCTTGTTTAAATACATATCATTAAACAAACGACCAATCAGCGCTTATTTAAAAAAAAGAGAGCATGGGTCACTCACCCGTGACTGCCAGAAGTAGACCCATGTAATAGAAGAAATACACATTGACTTGGGCGTTTGTAAGCTACTGAAAACTTTACTGCGCCTTTCTGTGGTAACCATTATGTGCCGGGGAGGATCTCCTGAACAAATATTAAAACAAAAAGTACGTGATCGCTTCCCCCATATCTCAGCTTTCTGGATGCTCATATATCCCTGACACCTCGCCGAATTAATTATTCTCAGTAGTATATTCTTATGTGTGTGTGTTGCACGAAAATTATTAATTTCTCGCTACATTTAATGTGGGTGAAATTCGCCGCGTGTTCATGTCTTGTGATTGTGGGTTGACTGTCGACTTGTGTAAATTAGTCGCACCTTTAAAAATGGCAATAACAACACAAGATTCATAAATGTGAGGTTGTTATATACCAATGTCGTCATACATCAGCCCCTCCCTCGAGCTATTTTTTCTTCCAGTTCACTGTGACCAATAGATTGTCATATGCATTGTCTTTTTTCTCTCGGTCACCGATCCAAGTTATTTGACTGGAGGCAATTTTAGTTTATTCACACTCTTTACTTCATTGACGTGACTGCGCACGAACTCGATTGTGACAAGAGTAGAAAGCATTATTCATATAGGTTGTATAAACTACACAACAATGCATTACGTGAATACAACGCGATCTGTTGGACTGCGACTCATTGATGAGTTGCTGACAAGGAGTTTGTCTGAGGCGTGCACAACAATTACAGTCACTGTGTATATAACCTGATTTACACACAGACAATCGGGCAAAGCTAAAGTGGTATAATCGCAATCGAAGATTAGTTGAAGGCCTGGACTGAATGATTTTTGTGCTCACGTTACGATGATCAATGTGAACTCCAATGTGACGTCAGACCTGAAGCCTCTGGGAAATGATAAGCCGATATTGTGACAGTGTGATTGGATATACATAACAACGACATCTCAGTTTAAGGGGGGAATTCGGCAAGACAATTCCAAATAGGTGCATTCACAGCCCTGTTGAATTGTGTGTACATTTTAATTACGGCGGACCGATACCAAACTTGACCACACCATGATGGATCGAACATACTTGTAGTCAATTATTTCGAAACTGGAACAAAAGACATCGTGTTCAATCGGCCGAGAAGGTACCACTGGAGAGTATGAAAGGCCTATCGAAGAAGAGTATCTGGTTGCTTCGTGGACTGCGCCCACCCAGCTCTTCGTGTGAAGCCATGAACGGAGGAAGTGCGCGGTAAGTATAATATTTACTCTCAAAGAAGTAGCTAAAGTTGTGTCACACGCTGATTTTAATCGGAACTAATCTCCAAAATACCAAAACTTACTATTTAGGATTCTAAGTCATACTTCTATTTTCTGTTGCATTCTCCCAAAAATATGCAAATTAGACATTCACTAGACACTGTCTTTCCTCGCCATATGTTTCTAATGCAAGTTGTTGTATGTTTATGCTCGCGTAGTCGTTGGCCCATTTGAGTGCATACGTAATGGCTTTGCATAGTGGTATAGTGAAACAAGGTACATTTTCGTGGACATTTTTGTTATTGTATATCGGAGCAAATTGTATATCGGAGTGGTTCAAAAAATTGTCAAAAAACTTAGAGTTCATTTTCATAATTGCTTATATTTTGAGACTAAATAACCTAATACCTAACCTAATATTTGGCAAACATGTATTCTGGAGAAAAGTTTTTCTATTTGGACCCCTCCATTTCATATGCTTCCATATCATTCACTGTGTATTTCTATGCAAAGAGTGTAAGGAATGTTCTCCACTGTGCTTCGCTATTTATATAATTTTCATAAATTGAGAAGGCGGGGTTTCCCCATTACTGAAGATATTGCGATTTCAAATTTACATTTAATCATGATTTAATTACTTAGCTGAAAGATCAATTTCTTGAAAACCTCGTATCCCGAAAACTATATATTTTACCGGGCTAAAATTGTCCTGTTTGGTAATGTATAAAAACGTTTGTCAAATTAGACAGTCAGTACGGAGTGTTCTTTGCACGTAAACAGTTGGATGTTTATTTCACTTTGTTTTCTACTGGGTACAGCAGTAGTCGATAGCGTGGGATCCGATATTTGCTGTGTTTTCTAGTGGGTGACCACATCCAAAAGACTATAATTAACACATATAACTGTCCCATCTATTCGGTAAGCTCTTTAACTCCGCTCCAATTCTATTGAATTCATCTGCAACTTATGCCAATACGTGTGTTATCTCTTGTTGTTGTGTTCGATGTCGTTGTTGGCACAACCTGGGGCGTTCCGTATCATTAACTATGTCGGACAGATTTGTTTTTTTTCTTTGTGAAGAGTTCGATTGCTTCCAATCAGAGGGACTGCGTTTAAACTGTCGATAAACGTTATAACCACAGTGACAATTCCCCGGTGGGGGAGTGCATGGCTCCACACATTTGCTGACTATTACAGCATTGTATTGAATGGAAATTTCTACCTCTAGTATAACTTGCATGAAATGTCTATTTTCTTTTTCTTGGATTTGTTCTTTCAAAAGTTTTTAATGGCCAACCCTTGAGAGCGGGATTCATTACTTCTGACAGTGTAACTCGTGTAACGTGGCTGGACAACAGATGAGGCCCCAATAACGCGATTATATTTGTTATGTTTTTTGTCCAAAGACTGCGCACACAAGTGTTTACTGCAGGGGCTGATACAGGGGTGGGGAGGCAAACTTTAAAATCGCCAGACTAAGTAAATGATTTTTGTTATATTATACAAAAACCAAATTGAATACATTTTTCAACGAGGAGGGGGGGTCCGGACCCCAAGAACCCCCCTAGATCCGCCACTGTACTGTCCTACATGTTAGTATAGTACGACATCCCATTGTTGGAGTTCACGTGTAGTTGGATCCTTACACACAAAACAAAAATACATAACCAAGCACTAGAATTAGAAATTAGGTCGACCAAGTATTTTTTATCCGCACGATTACCACTGCTCGCATTTCTCGTCTTTTTTATGTTTAAGGAAACACGAGCGTACATATGTTACATAGCTGACGCCGAGATGGATTTTAGTTGTCTGGTATGTGGCAACACTTACAAATGCGACTAATGACGTGGAAAGACGTACATAGTTTCCTTACATACATCACGAAACAAACATTTGCATCGGTCTTATTCTAAAAAAAAAAATACGTTCGTCCATCCGTGCTGTTTTCACTTGCTTTGCATGTGAATATGGATAATATTGCTTCTGAAGTGTGAGAAAGGGCAGGTACAATTCGAATAGCGATCGACCATTGTAATAACATGGTATAATACGTACTTGTTAGTTTTATGCTTTCTTCAATATACATGGGTAAGTGAACCTGTTGTTTTATGCCAATGGTGCGAGAATGTGTCGTAACTTCTTGCGTAAATTTGTAAACATCTAGACATTATCTGTTGTCATGTCCGATTCTTCATGACCTCGTAGAACACTTTGTGTGTTGTGCGGCGTAGCGTTGTCATGCTAGCTGTTGTTCCACATCATCACACACTATTCATCAGGATTCATCTGTTACACTTCCAGCCGTATATAGTCACAATTTCCGTGAACTGGTCCTAAAGTGAGATAATGGTAGTTGAATCAGCTGAACTTTGAACAAAACCTATTAGAATGTTAACTCACTTCTGTAATTAATTTCTAGGATTTTTGTGATTATTTCACAGCTTAACAACTATTCTATATAGTCTACAATGTCAATACAATTGTTGGTACGTTTTTCTCGTACAACAAGAATAAAGCACGTGACCTTAATTTATCAGGATTATTAAACTAGGTCAAGTCCATACTAAATTGGTGGTTATCTCGAGGACTCACTATAATTGGTAAAATAACAATTTACAAATCCTTAATAATTCCAAAATTTATATACATATTAAACTCTATCTATATAGAGCCGTTTGATATGAAGACTATTAACAGTATAATTTATAATTTTATTTGGAAAGGACATGATAGAGTTGCTCGAAACACGATAAATGGTGATGTTGGCCAAGATGGGTTAAATATGATTGGGATGGTCGATATGTATAAATCTCTAATGGTGAAATGGGTACAACGGTATTTAAATGACAAAATATCGACGCTTTGAACACTCATTTTTGTCATCGAAGCGCTTTGTCACTAGAGGGCGCATTTTATATGAAAGGTGCTCCCATCTTTAGTGTCGTCTACTATCCTTGGGGGCGGACATC